CAATGGCGACTCGAGTTCCCCGACATCGGCAGTTATGCCATTTGGGTATCAGTAGGACCTCCCTAACTATGTTTTCACACGTGCTAACATCATTCAGGTTGCGCAAACGTTGCCCACTGCCGAGGTTTACTCTCAGGCTCTCAGCCCAATGGACTACCATATAATTGGGGATACTGTCTGGGTAAATGCATTGTAAAAATTCGAATGCAACATAATATTGACTGCCCACATTCAAGTTCATTCCTCTCAGTTCTCTGGAGAATTTTCTCTTGGTCAACCTGTGTTCGTCCAGGTCTGCGGTCTCGCTTCCAATCTGAACAAGGAAGATGCGACTTTCGAGATCGGTCTCTTCCATGAAAAGATACGCTGTGTTTCCAACGACAAAGTCGAGGGAGATCGGGGATACTCCGTGCCGCGGCGGGACTAATGTGAGTCCGGCTTAGAGCATGTGGTGCGGCAGCGCCATCGATTCGGGACGAGTCGGAAGTAGTCCTTCAATAAGTAGGTGGGTTTCAATTGTCAGGTGTGGGCGAAACATCGGCTACAGACTGAAAGATACTCAGAGTTAGACGGGCGAACAGGAGCCCGGGAAAATGCGACAAATCGATGAATGAAATTGAACTCAGACGGCAGGAAGCGAGGCAAGCAAGTACCGCCCGCCCTACCAAAAACAACCAACACACTTCGAATAAGACTCGACCCCGAGTCGAACGGGGAGCAGGGGCGGGCCGTCCGCCATCGGGCCGGTACGAGTTTAGTGCTGTTCTTCCATACCTGGAGACACATCAAGAAGTACACAAGCCGAGAGAAGACCGGGAAATGTAGATGTATCGAGGGCCCGCCCTACGAAAATCAAGCTCATCGGAAATGGGATAAGGCTCGACCCCGAGTCGAACGGGGGATCATCTGCAGCGCATTCACAAAGGAAATATGTCGAAGGCAGAGGCGGTCCATCCGCTATCGAGCCGGTACTTGATCAGCATGTGGGCTTGCTTTATCCATTGCATTGAGCGAATATTTTGAGCATCCGAGTGGTTCCACGACCAGCGCGGATGGAGAGAGAGTAGTCGCAGAGTCTCAGAGCAAGTGAAGATGAAGCAGGGAGACACAAGGAGACTTAGTAGAAAAATTCCAGCCCGAATGTAAAGAAAAGGACCCGCCGCTCGAAAAAAAAGAGCACGTTTGCTCGGTAAGGCTCGACCCCGAGTCGAACGGGGATCGTCTGCAGGACAGTCACAGGAAGGGAGGGCAGAGGCGGGCCATCCGCTATCGAGCCGATACGAGTAGGGAGTAGTACTTCATTTAATACATAGGTGCGTTTTTTTTGGAGTCTCTCCGCAAGCGCGAAAATGGACTTCGAGAGCCCAGGCAGACAAGCTTGGCGAGAACGCGGGAAGAGAGATCCAGAGAGCGCGCAGGGAAAAGTGAGTGGGTTCTTGCTAAGGCTCGACCCCTAGTCGAACGGGATTCTCGGCGTGAATCGAGGACGTGGAGTATGAAGCGCAGAAGCGGGTCGTCCACCGTCGAGCCGGTACAATTCCAGAGCGGAAGTTTTCACCAAGATGCAAGGGGGTCCAAAGATAAGCATTGCCCATATGGGGTGGGGTAGGTAGGTTGGTCCCCGACCGCCAGAAAAAAAAATTGTATGCAATTTTATTTCGGCCCAAGTTGAAGCCCTGGTCGTCCTTCGGACCCGCGGCTAGTCTTTCGACGTTGCTAAGACTTCCACAGATGTTTACACGACATCCTAGGGGCTAGATCAGCCTGAGAGCAATGTTCGTCGTAGTTTGGGACAAATGTGGGACTCAACATATGCAAGTGCGGCAATTTTTCGTTCGGGATATCAGACTGAGGTCACTATGGCTGATGACAGGGCCCGAATCATCCAGATCACATTTGACCGCCTCTAGAATTCATTTGGGAAGGTCAGGACTATGGTCGGAAATTTCACGGCAGTAGTGGAGCTCCAAAACGGCGAGAAGGAGGTAAGTTTCGGGCTGAATGCCTGGAATATCAGCTAATCCTAGCCCAGGGAAGTTGAACGAAAATATATTTGGCCGTACTTAGCACCGTCCAGCTAACGTTGAGGTGTGCTTCGCACCAGCAGAGGTTCCCGGAGTGAATAAGCACCATCAAGAGGTGGAAGGTTATAGATAGGTCAACTACTAAGATGCTAGAAATTTATTGCCGCCGGTGGTCGTACTGCATGAGCTCGATGGCCTACTTGGGACGCCTTCCGGAGATACCCGTTCCCAAAAGGGAAGGTTTCTCACGGTAGGTTGGTAGGTTGACCGCCCAACGGGCCGGCAAAAAAAATTGTAGGTGATATCATTTTTTCTTATCTTTGGACCCCCTTGCCAAGATGAGGAAATTAAACCCCCGAAAAAAAAGTCCGCTCAGCTTGGAACAAGGCTCGCCCAGTCGAACGGGATACTCTGCGAGACCGAGGACATGGAGTACGAAGCGCAGAGACGGGCCACCCGCCCTGACCTCGGTAAACCGGTCACCTCGTCAGCCCGTTACCGTCACACCACCCACCTTCACGACTCTCTAATTTTAAAAGCATGTCCGGCATCGGCTCCTGTCCTCGTTCTTCCCCGCCACACGCCGACGCCCCGACGAGAAGCCCCCCTCCGACGCCCAGCCCGCTCAGGACGCCGCCACGGAGGAGGAGCCCAAGGAGGAGGTACCAACGCTGAATGTACGCTTCTACGCAACTCCTCCACAATACACAAACCCTTCCGCCTGCCTCGACGCCGATATCGGGTGTGCGCGCCGTTCAGTTGTAGATGCCCGTGGAGCCACACACGCTGATCGTGCGCGTTCGACTGCGCCGTGCACCGTGCTTGTGAATGTAGCGCGGCGGACTGCGCAGCCGCTATTCGTGCGCACCGGCACGTCTCCTTCCTCCGCTCATCTAGCCCCTCACCGCCGCAACTGCCTTGGGCATCAGCGCCGGCCTCATCCCCGCCGGCCTCGACCCCGCCCTGCTCTCCATCGTCCGCCCCTCCGGGCTCGCTGCGTTCGGCACAGAAGACGCGCTGCCCGACACCGTCGATCGTCATCGCCGCTGCGCCCAGCGAGTCTGAAAATGGGATGCTGAAGAGCGGTGGGGAGAGCACGCTACACGCACGCGATGCTCGATCCCGATGCACCGAGCGCCGCACAGCCGACGACCAGCCAGTTCGGCATGGGGGTGGTGCGTTCTTTCTCTTTGTAAAATCGTGGCAAGGAGAGAAAAGGCCGATGAGCGCAGATAACAAGCCTAAGACTCCCCGAAGACCCCCCTGCACTGCAGCCTACCTACGCCCGCAGCGCCCGCCTACCGCCCACCGGGCCCGCCGAAGGGGAGCGGGATTCGTCGATCCAGTGCGCACCCAACTCCTCTTTCGAAATCTTCATAATGCACGCTTTGAACTCACGCGCATCTAGCGTTCATCCTCTTCCGCCAGCCGTCGAACTTCTCCCTCCCCGCGGACGCACCGGAGCACCGAGGCGCACCGACACTGGGACGCGCCCAAGCTTGGCGAGCGGCACGGACTCAAGATGGGCGGGGCGGTGTTTTATTTGGTGAGGGGCGAGGATTAGTTCAGATGGGGAGAGTGCGTGTACAGTAGGTGGTCCGATGACTGGCTGGTGCTTTCATCGAAGCTGAATGGTATAAGTACGAGTACTGTAACTGTGAATCGCAACTGAGTATGTGATCACTGATCCGGACGCCTCCACATCGTTGAAATTAGACCGAGCATTTCACGCGGTCCTCCTCCCGAAGACAGTAGCCGAAAAGAAAAGGAAAAAAAAAAAAAAAAAGAAAAAAAAACACAAGTGCTCTCTCAAATGGCTCGAGCCCGAGTCGAACGGGCACCTCCTGCGGTGAAGTGCACAGATTACTCACAGATGGAGCGCAGGTGCGGACCATCCGCCATCGAGCCGGTACAAACTGCGATTCAAGCCAAGGGGCTTCCGAAATACGGATTTTTTATATGAGGTCCCTTTCTGATCTGATTTTCAACGAGGATTCCGAAAATCGTGGTCCCGTAGGGAATGGTTGCGTGGTCGTCGAGTTAGAGACCAAAACATTATTACTGCATTTGGAGGGGGGGCGGGGGTACAGCCACTCGGCAGAGGGAAAATCATCACGTGTATTGATCTCGGCGCTTTCCGCCAATGAGTCTTTTGAATGTCAACATATATTGCTGCTCTGGAAAACCAACCAAAGAGTGCTCAGGATGATTTAAATGGCACAGATGCTAAAAGTGCGGACTCTGGTGCGTTTTGCCTAAGCGGAGCACACGTGCTGCTTACAAATCGCTTACAAATCGCTTACGTAGGGGGGGGAGTACCCCCGACCCTCTGAGAGAAAAAAACCGACCCCTGGTTCATTTTTCGGGTTTTCAAACCCTCTTGATTCAAGCTTTACTATATGGGTGTCTTTGCGGTGCGTTGATGCGAGGTAAGCATGTACGCTCGAATTTCTGAACAACCTCACCCGAATATGAATACGATATGATATGAATATAATACGATACGGGACAAGTCGTATTCAAATATATTCAAATACGGTAAAGCGATTCTCTCGGAGTCGGTCCGTGCGCGCTGCGGAAATACCATGCATCTCTGAATCACAAAACGAAAGGCAAAGAAGGAGAAAAGAAAATGCTCCACCCATTAGATATGGCTCGAGCCCGAGTCGAACGGGCACCTCCTGCGACGAAGATTGCTGTAAATGAAGTGCAGGCGCGGACCGTCCGCCATCAAGCCGGGACAAACTGAGATTCAAGCCTCCCTATCTGGGCATCTTTGTGGTGCGCTGGTGCAAAATCAGTATTTTAGCCCGACCGTCGAAATTAACCTCACCTATAGCTAAAACTTTGGTCGCAGGGACGAGCGCACCGCGGAAAATTCAATGTATCTCTGCGTCAGAGCATAGAGACTAGGTTCACCTCGTAAGACTCGTCACTCAGTGTAAAAGCAAAAAATCGCAAGGAACCACTGTTCAATGGCTCGAGCCCGAGTCGAACGGGCGCCTCGTGCGATAAGCTTGCAAATCGACTGTAAGACAGGTAGGTGCGGACCGTCCGCCATCAAGCCGATATACGTGTGGAGAGGTTCTTCAATATCTCAGCCATTTGGCTGGGAGATGGCAGACTAAGAACGAATGTTCACCATCTGAGGTTTTGAAAGTGGAATGACGATCCAGAAATGGATATGCATGAACTTCCGGACTGCAAAGGTATCTGAGCTCCGGGAATCATAAAGTATCGATGTACAAAGGAATGATTTTAACTAAACGACCTTTCCATCCTCAATGGACCCCCTGCGTCGAGTGTGGCTTCCTGCATGCTGCGTGCGTTGTCTCCAGTCCAGCGCAGGCGCGGACCATCCGCCATCGAGTTTATATTGCGTTCGACCGGTGCCTGGTCTTCCCAACAGCAAATAGAGGGAACAGCGTAATACTGAGTCCGAGCGTACACATCGCGTAGGTAGAGTTTGCATATCTGACGCCCAGGGAATTTATCACGGTCCATGGCTTGAACCCGAGTCGAACGGGCACTTCCTATGATTCAGAGACAACTATATGCAGCGCAGGTGCGCACCGTCCGCCATCCAGCCGGTACAAGCCTTGATGCTACGGTGTTGCATTGAGCAAATGTTTTGAGCACCCGAGTCTCTGTGCAGCGAGGCCGGGTGAGGGTAGCCGCGGAGAGCAACTCAGAGAATTGGAGACAGAAGCAAGCGAATATTGAGTGAGCCGGCGGAAAAAGGACATTTGGCGTGTTGCTAAGACTCGACCCCGGGTCGAACGGGGTTACTTTGCGATGCAAAGGCTTATCTTATTATGGGGCGCAGAAGCGGGCCGTCCGCCATCGAGCCGGTACAATGGAAGTTTGCTTTGTGGCTTGCATTGCGTCAGAGCGAGTACGGTTGGAGAGCGAGGGTATGTGGGGTGAGTTGAGATGCATTAGGGCGACTCTGAAATTCTGGATAGCAAGATGAGGAAATTACAGCTCTTTGCGGAACTTAGGGCGCGGCCTATTTTTTATTAAAATTTGATGTTTTCACGAGATCAGCTGTTGTGAGCTTAATTCTGGCCCGTTTCCCTTGAAAGTGGGACCGATAGATTCCCACTTCAATTCCGGAGGGCTCTGGACCCCACAATCGTGCGGATGCGTGGGAATTTCCTTTTTCGGCAAATCTCGAGGTGTCCACGCAGAACAGCTGTGGTATTAGCAAGAATCATCCTATTAACCTGAATTTTGGATATGTTACACTCGGATGTATGTATGAGGGCTCCATGAGCTCGGATCAGCTTTCCCGGACACAGTCCACATTTAGTGTAGAGTAGGAAATTAATCGCAATTGGAGCCTTCACCAAATTTTAATCAGGAGGTATATTCGCCATCCAAGGGTTTGGGGCTCTCGGGGACCTATGTGAGTATATCATATCCAAAATCTAGGTCAATTGGATGAGTGTGGCTGATACTATGGCTGTTCTGCGTGGACACCTCGAAATTTTCTGAAAAAGGAAATTCCCACGCATCCGCACGATTGTGAGGTCCAGAGCCCTCCGGAATTGAAGTCTGAATCGATCGGTCCTACTTTCAAGAGGAACGGGCCCGAATTGAGCTCACAACAGCCAATCTCGTGAAAACATCAAATTTTAATAAAAAACGGGCCGCGCCCTAAGTTCCGCAAAGAGCTGTAAACCCCCCGACAAAAAAGTCCGCTTTTCTTGGAACAAGGCTCGACCCCGAGTCGAACGGGAGACTCTGCGATAATCGAGGACGTGGAGCATGAAGCGCAGAGACGGGACACCCGCCATCGAGCTGTACCAGACAGATGTAGACCTTCTGTGTGTGTTGCATTTGAGAGGAATTTTATGAGGATTATTTCAGAGCGAGTACGGTTGGAGAGAGGGTAGCGGCGTCGAGTGAAAATGAAACAGGGCTCGGAAAATTGCAGAGAGACGCCGTCCAAAGCTAATCGCAGCCGACAAGAAGTGTGTTTCGCTGGGAACAAGTCTCGACGCCGAATCGAACCGGGACACACTGCGTGAGGTTGACGAGGGATTGCTTGTTATATAATTGCTACAAGCGGCGGACGGACCGCTCCGCGGTCCGTCCTCCCCTTTCTGATGTCCTGAGGTTTACCTCCAACGAACATCTGGGAGTTTCTGATGCGTACATTTACTTGTAAATGCTAATGTTCCGACACTTGACCACTGGCAGTTGGAAACCATCCGAAACACGCTCAGCAGTGCCAAAGAGGGCCTACCGTACTTTTTCCCTTCAATTCGACCAGGGGTACACCGGAGTGGAAATTTGGAATTTTGCGTGTGGCGGGCACGATTTTGACCAGGTTTTGGCCCTGCACAACGAAATTTGCATTCGACCACCGGGGGTGTGACGCGAGATACGTTACCAATAGTTGAATCGAAAAAGTACAGTAATTTTACTCTGCAATCTTCGATATCTAAAGCCAGAGAGAATTGTTTGTAAATTTTACAGAGGAGTTTGATTTTTCAAGTCATTCCTCATCTGTTTCAGACAGGCGGGAATTTTGCTCTGTACTATTGGTGTTCAGACGACGCGACGCGACACGACTGTCACGTGCCGCGAAACGTTCCAACTCTTCCGAAGTTTAAACCTGATATTCTACAGTCTTGGGGTTGACGAGCCAAAAGCGGAGTTTAAAAGGCTTCGGACGGACATGCTTAATTTTATAAAGAGAGAGAAGAGAAGCGTCGTCGGACGCTTTACGAAGCTCTCAATTGTGTGCACACAACTAAGCCAGCACGTCCCTTGGGATGTATTTGACCACGGTAGTGTACAGTACAGGTTAAGAGGATTCGTCCTCGATTACATACAATATTATACTTTATATACTAGGGACCAGTAACGACTGATCCAAACAAGGCCAACTATGGCCAACTGCAAGAGTCCATTAAATAATCAGCTTATGTCAGGGCAGCGGCCCTAACAATAATATAGGGTGCAGAGGCGGGCCGTCCGCTATCGAGCCGGTACAAGTAGGGAGTAGGACTTCAATACGTAGGTGCATTTTTTGTCGAGTGTCTCCGCAAGAGCAAAGGCGGAAATGGAGATAGCAGGAGCCACACGAACTTGTGATTACCGCAGGAAGCGCGCCAGGGACAAATCGAGTGAGTTCTGACCAAGGCTCGACCCCGAATCGAACGGGATCCTCTGGAAGACGTACAATATTGGGTTCGATCAGGTGCAGAGACGGGTAAGCTTGCTTTGTGTTACGTGAAGCATTTTTGATAGTCGAGCAAAACTTCAAGTCCAGGATTCCGAGTCAGAAAGCAGGCTTGCCGGGTGAAGGACATGAACGGCGCCTGCGCGGGCAGAGCGCTCCAAAAAGATGGAAGCGAGGACTGGAAGATCCTGGGCTTGGAAGGAACAGTTGACTTTCCGCGCAATTCGAGAGTGAGCGTCGAATCCAAGCCTCTTATGTTTGTCCCCGCATCATCGCTGGACTCCCAACGCGGTCACCCCCCGCGTACTGGACTACCCGGCATCTGTGGAAGATACAGGGTCAAGATGTGGAAAAGATAACCGCTCATGCAAATGGACTGTTTATTTTTGCAGCAACGGCTGTCCATTATGTTCAGGCAGGACTGCCACAGGTGCCACCACAGAAATCAGTAGACTTTCTTCTCAGAGGAGAACCCCTCATTGACCTACATACACTGTACTCCCAAATTGTGGAGGAGGCTATTCCAGCCCCTGCACCAGGAAACCATCCCGCACAATTCTCTCATGATCAAGCCATGAAGGTTGTGAGCACTATTTTGGCCCTTTTCGAACCTCTGGATTCCGCCAGTCTACAAATACTGCAAACAATAAGTGAAGAGTAAGATTTAGAGGCGGGGACCAAGACAGAGAGCTCTGGCTATGCAGCGATATGGCACATATACTGTGCAAAAAATATTTAGTATTTAGATAACATCTTGAATTGGGAACAGGGTTTTTGCGTACAACTTTGATTGAATTCTTGAAATTGCTGACATCTTGTAACTTGGGAGCAGGTCTGCCCTATGTTGGCAGCATGTGGTTCTGTACTACATTCCAACCTTGGTCCATCTTGGAGCAACTTTGGATCGAGGCGGGATGCCCCTGATTGGAAGCATTGATGCTATGGTCTTTTGCCGAATCCCAAAACAGAAACCATGGCATTCCCGGTCCATACTGAATGTAATAGGTCACCAATACCTCATAAACACTAAATCTCACTGTGTTCTATCTGAGAACTACAACCTCTAATGGAATTAAGGCAGGTAAGGAGACAGAGATAACTCCAACTGATACAGAGCCCTTGAGGATGTTTGTTTTTCAGGAACAGACTTGAATCATTCAGAGAATGCTCAGGAGAGTCCAATGAGAGCAATCCTCTATGCCGGGGCTGGCTCAGCGCCCTGGACAGCTACCACAGCTAAATTCGAAGAATCAACAGGCTGTGCGGAGAACTGCTGGGAGCCGAGATGATCCGACGTGTTCCGGTAACCGGGATGAACGAGATCCGTCCTACATGAAGATGCACAGCACGGCACATGCATCCACGCCCGACACATCTGCCGGGCATGTGCCGTGTTTGCGTTGAAGCACGGTACATGATGCCGGCTGCGCCGGCAGAGTATCGGCATCATAAAATAACTAGAACGTAGCGCGCAAAGACATCACAGTCACCGAACGGTAGTCGATTCAGAGCAAAACTCTCAAGGCAATATTAATATCATGAAGATTGTTAGGCGGGCTGGCTACAAAATACTGCTGGCGGGCCAACAGCCTCATAACTTAGGAAAACAAAAAATCAGATGTTGGAATGAAACGTCGAGCAAAGAAGAACATACCTTGCGCCCCTTGCACTTTTTCGGGGCACGTGTTGAGAGTTCCTCCTCGGCAATGCGCTTGCGCGCTGAGGGAGCTCTGGAGCGAGGGAATGGGAGGATATTTGCCTTGTCAACATCGTCTCGAAGACGCCGGACTTTAGGTGCGCTCAGGCCTGCCTCTGGCGAATTTGACGAAGGATCGATCCCAGGGGATGGGGCCGGCGTGGAGTCAGGCGGAGGC